GGTGGGCCTTTTTTTCTGAAGCTGAAAATTGAGCCAGTTAGGAGGCTTGTGAATACTCGACCACAAATCTTAAAAATAACAGTTGAGAGCAAGCATCGAACGTTTACTTTGAAAAACAAACATAGTCCCAGACCACCGTTTCATTGCCCCGACCGTAGCGCGTACGCACGCTCCTACACACGCACGCACACACGCACACACACACACGCACACACTCACTCACTCTCACTCACACTCACACTCACACTCACACACAAACACGTATCGTAATTTCAGAGAGAGCAGAAAGCGTAGAGCGAGTCTGGCGTTGACAGCTCTGGCCTGGACATGAAGCCTTGTAGTAATGAAGGTCACACACTGGGAGTGTGTGTGTGTAAAATAATTAAGTCATAACATACACACACGCTAGACTAACCCCACGGCTACAGAGGAGATCGCTAGCCGCTAGACATGGGGTCTGAGCTAAAGGCTAACCTCTCCCACAGCGCTGACCGGCGTGGTGTGTGAGTGTGTGTGTATTATGACTTAATTCATTTACACAGACTCCCAGCCCCCCTATGGCCTGCGGTTCCTGCCCTGGACATTGTTCCCTGCTGAGCAGAGGTCAGCACTCAATTGTTCTCTCTTTCACAACAATGAGATAATGCTCCCTCCCTCCCTGGCACTGTCCCCTGCAGTCAGTTCATATCAGGACTGTGTTAGGGATATCAAAATGTCACTTCTAAATGTCATCTGTGTGTGTGTACTATTAAATGTCACCTCTTAATTGGAAGCAGGACAACAATGGAGGGAGGGAGGCCTGTTGGAAGTTCCTCTGTAGTGGCTCACATAGACTGTGTGTTAACTCTAGAGAGGCTGGAGAAAATGCTGGTTACAATAAGAGTGATTGAGAGGGTTGTATCCATACCTTCTAGTTCCAGCAGCATAGTGGGAAAAACTCAATATTGGAGAAAAAAAACTCAAGCACATTGGCATTCTTTGATATAGTTGATAGTTGTCTTGATCAACATCACATAAATGATTAAATCACTAATCTTAACACCCTAGTACTGTATTTCAGTCTGTCTTTTCTCACCAGAGCTGCATGTTTGATGTAAGTGTATGGAACTGACTGGGGATTGGCCCTTACTTCAATAGTAATGAAAGTCACCCTTTCCTTCAGCTGGGTTCAGGCCTGTAGTGCGTGCGTGTGTGTTCAGGCCTGTTTATCCTGCTCTACTTTCAGCCTGTGAAATACAGTATATAGCTTTGACCTGAGCTCACTGAGAGTCTTAATTTGTCCTGAGGGAAAGTGCTGTTGGCCCTCACACACACACACACACACACACACACACACACACACACACACACACACACACACACACACACACACACACACACACACACACACACACACACACACACACACACACACACACACACACACACACACACACACACACACACACACACACACATACATGGACATTTTAGTAAGTCTCTGTTTTGCTAGGGCGTTGTGGACGGGGATGGCGGATGGGCGTAAGCATCTGCCTCTGATTCCAAAGGTTGCAAGTTTGAATCCAGCGATAGAAAGTTGTTTTTGAGATTTCGTTTTTTGCCTATCCCAAACCTTAGCCCTTACATTAACCATTCAGAGTTAATGCTTAACCTTAGGATTTCAGAGTTAATGCCTAAATTTAACCCTAACCTTAAAAATTCGGAGTTAATGCCTCAACTTAACCTTAAACACTTCGAAATTTGACGTTTCAAATCAAACCAATGCAAATAGTCCAGGTAGCCATGATTAGCTGTTCAGGAGTCTTATGGCTTGGGGGTAGAAGATGTTAAGAAGCCTTTTGGACCTAGACTTGGCGCTCCAGTACCGCTTGCCGTGCGGTAGCAGAGAGAACAGTCTATGGCTAGGGGGGCTGGAGTCTTGATCACGTTGAGGGAGAGGTTGTTATCCTGGCACCACACGGCCAGGTCTCTGACCTCCTCCCTATAGGCTGTCTCATCGTTGTCGGTGATCAGGCCTACCACTGTTGTTTCGTCGGCAAACTTAATGATGGTGTTGGAGTCGTGCCTGGCCATGCAGTCATGAGTGAACAGGGTGTACAGGAAGGGACTGAGCACGCACCCTTGAGCGGCCCCCGTGTTGAGGATCAGCGTGGCAGATGTGTTGTTACCTACCCTTACCACCTGGGTGCGGCCCGTCAGGAAGTCCAGGATCCAGTTGCAGAGGGAGGTGTTTCGTCCCAGGGTCCTTAGCTTAGTGATGAGCTTTGAGGGCACTATGGTGTTGAACGCTGAGCTGGAGTCAATGAATAGCATTCTCACGTAGGTGTTCCTCTTGTCCAGGTGGGAAAGGGCAGTGTGGAGTGCAATAGAGATTGCATCATCTGTGGATCTGTTGGAGCGGTATGCAAATTGGAGTGGGTCTAGGGTTTCTGGGATAATGGTGTTGATGTGAGCCATGACCAGCCTTTCAAAGCACTTCATGGCTACAGACGTGAGTACTACGGGTCGGTAGTCATTTAGGCAGGTTATCTTAGTGTTCTTGGGCACAGGGACTATGGTGGTCTGCTTGAAACATGTTGGTATTACAGACTCAGTCAGGGACATGTTGAAAATGTTAGTGAAGACACTTGCCAGTTGGTCAGCGCATGCTCAGAGTACACGTCCTGGTAATCCGTCTGGCCCTGCGGCCTTCTGAATGTTGAATTGCTTAAAAGTCTTACTCACATCGGCTACGGAGAGCGTGATCACATAGTCATCCGGAACAGTTGATGCTCTCATGCATGCTTCAGTGTTGCTTGCCTCGAAGCGAGCATAGAAATGATTTAGCTCGTCTGGTAGGCTTGTGTCACTGGGCAGCTCACGGCTGTGCTTCCTTTTGTAGTCTGTAATTGTTTTCAAGCCCTGCCACATCCGACGAGCGTCGGAGCCGGTGTAGTACGATTCAATCTTAGTCCTGTATTGACTCTTTGCCTGTTTGATGGTTCGTTGGAGGGCATAGCGGGATTTCTTATAAGCGTCCGGGTTAGAGTCCCGCTCCTTGAAAGCGGCAGCTCAACCCTTTAACTCAGTGCGGATGTTGCCTGTAATCCATGGCTTCTGGTTGGGGTATCCCGGAACATATTCCAGTTGTGCTAGCAAAACAGTCCTGTAGCTTAGCATCTGCGTCATATGACCACTTCCTTATTAACTGAGTCACTGGTGCTTCCTGCTTTAGTTTTTGCTTGTAAGCTGGAATCAGGAGGATAAAGTTATGGTCAGATTTGCCAAATGTAGGGCGAGGGAGAGCTTTGTACGCGTCTCTGTGTGTGGAGTAAAGGTGGAATAGAGTTTATTTTCCTCTGGTTGCACATTTAACATGCTGCTAGAAATGAGGTAGAACAGATTTAAGTTTCCCTGCATTAAAGTCCCGGCCACTAGGAGCGCTGCCTCTGGATGAGCATTTTCCTGTTTACTTATGGCCTTATACAGCTCATTGAGTGCAATCTTTTTGTGGTGGTAAATAGACAGCTACGAAAAATATAGATGAAAACTCTCTTGGTAAATAGTGTGGTCTACAGCTTATCATGAGATACTCTACCTCATTGAGCAAAACCTTGACACTTCCTTTGTATTAGATTTTATGCACCAGCTGTTGTTTACAAATATACACAGACCGCCACCCCTTGTCTTACCGGAGTCAGCCGTTCTATCGTGCCGATGTAGCGTATATCCCGCCAGCTGTATGTTGTCCATGTCGTCGTTCAGCCTCGACTCGGTAAAACATAAGATATTACAGTTTTTATGTCCTGTTGATAGGATAACCTTAGTCTTAGGTCATACAATTTATTTTCAAATGATTGAACATTGGCAAATATGATTGATGGAAGAGGGAGTTTACTCGCTCGCCGTCGGAACCTTGCCAGGCCAGAGAAGAGCTTTGACTGGGCTGAGCTGGACCTGCCAGGTAGGATGCAAGCCAGGAGTGTGCAGCCCTGAGAGGGTGGAGAAGAGGATCTTATTGTTCACAGTGTCGAAGGCAGCGGATAGATCTAGGAGGATGAGAACAGAGGAGAGAGAGTCAGCTTTGGAAGAGCGGAGAGCCTCCGTGACAAAGCCTGACTGGTTAGGGTCAAGAAGATCGTTCTGAGAGAGATAACGAGAGACTTGGTCAGAGACAGCATGCTTAACTGTTTTGTAAAGAAAAGAAAGAAGGAATATTGTCTGTAGATTTTGCCGTCAGAAGGGTTGTGTGTTGGTTTCTTGAGGTGGGGAGCAAATCTGGCCATCTTGAAGTCAGAGGGGCCAGTGGTCAGGGATAAGTTGATGAGGGAAGTGAGGAACGGGAGAAGGTCTCCAGAGATGGTCTGGAGAAGGGAGGAGAGGATGGAGTCAAGTGGGCAGGTTGTCGAGTGGCTGGACATCACTAGTCACACGATTTAATCTGGAGAGACAGGGAGACAGTTCTCAGACAGAGGATGTTTTCAACAATAATGTGTTTGCCTCTTCTCTGATCCAATTGGAGAGCCCTCCAAGGCACAGAACACCAACCCAAGTCCCAGCCCTGGCCCCGGCCTCAGTACCTGCCCCTGTCCCAGCTCCAGCCCCAGTCTAGTCTGAACCAAACAGTGTTGATTCGGCCCAGCCCCAGCCCCCAGTCAAGGCCAGCCCAATCCTAGCCCTAACCCCAGCCCTAACACCATCCCCAGGACAGCCCCAGTCTAGTCTGCACCAGAGAGGGCCGACCCAGCAGGGATGTTTCTAATTATCCACTCAAATAAGTGATCTATTATCCATCACAAATCACCAGGGGAAACAAAGCAGTTGTTTCAAACACAAAACATATTGTTCTCTGCATGAGAGAAATAATAACATAACAGACTGTTAGAGTCTCAGGCCAGAATAGAGCGGTTTTGGAAAAAAGTATTTACAGACAATAGACTGTACTAAGGTTAGTTAAACTAGGCTTTGTTAACTACCCTAACATGTTCTAAAGTGTTGTTTTTGTTTTGCTTGTTTTCCAGGCATGTCCATCGGGATCCCGGGATTTCCGGGAGAAGCAGTGTGCCGACTTCGACAGCATGCCGTTCCGTGGGAAATACTACAACTGGAAGCCCTACACTGGAGGTGAGATCGTAATAATGCGTTAATCCATCAATCGTTCCCCTCCATTCCGCTGTTTTTCTCAACCCGTTTGTAGACGTTTATACGGCGCTTTGATACCTTCGATCATACAGTAGCTTCCCAGAGCCTGTGGTCCTCTCTGGCCCTCAGTGACAGTCTAAAGGCTGCTCTCTGTGACTGTGTTGTGTACCCATCTAATACCAACAGTGGGCAGGACTGTTTGATGGGCCCAGAATTCCTGGGATTCCCACATTGTGTTTGACGGCCCTCTGGACAGCCATTCCAACTCTTTAGCCCTCAATGAAGGGCGGGATTTGGGTCCATTGAGGCTTGAATTCTGGGTCATCACTGTCTGGGCTAGAATTGATGGATTGGAACCAGGCCTTACTATTACCTTACAGATGTAGGCTCTTAATTTGATCACTCTTTTGCTGCTGAGAATTTTCCTGCACAGCAGAAAATGCAGATGAGCATAATGATTTCTGCCCATTATCTACTTCCCCAGAGTCAGATGAACTCATGGATACCATTTTTATGTCTCTGCGTGTAGTTTGAAGGAAGTTGCTAACTAGCATTAGCACAATGACTGGACGTCTATGGTAACTGCTAGCATGCTAGTATATACCATAGACTTCCAGTCATTGCGCTAACGCCTCTAACTTCCTTCATACTGTATGCAGCGACATAAAAATAGTATCCATGAGTTATCTGACTCTGGGGAAGTAGATAAAGGGCTTCATTATCAAAATCCTGAAGTATCCCTTTAATATAACTGTGTGTTAGTGCTGGTTTTCAGTGAATTTATGTAAATCATCCCGAAGTATCCCTTTAACATTATTGCACTTTTCATGTAGCCTAAATTTGGCCAGCTAATAGCCTAACCACCGATCAAGCAACATTATGGACTAAACGTTCATATCCTGTTGCTGCAGGTTTATTTTTCTGCGACAATATTGGTCAAATTAACATCCAACACCTGAATGCATTCTCTCATTTTCACTAGAGATTGCAGTGGAAAGTTTCACAAAAGATCGCAGTGGAAAGTTACACACAAAGAAACCCACACGCATGCACAAATACACACACACACACACCCACACATGCAACTCATAAAGCACAGTCTAGTCCTACTCTCTCCCAGGCCGTTGCACTAAAAGTTGAACTCTGTTATCACACAACTCTCATTAGTCAAAGCTATGAGCTCCTCTCTAGCTGGTACAAATCTATTGGACTGTCAACCTACATGTAGAGACTGGAGGTAACCTCAGTGTGGATGTCACTGTGTGTGTGTGTGTGTGTGCTTGTGTGCATTTGTGTATGTATGCGTGTGTGGGTGTGTCATGGTGGCTTATGTCATGGCAGCTCCAACTATCTCTCCCAGTGTCAGTGCTGAAGTGACGTCAGGCCCCAGGTCCAGGATCAGATCTAAGCATGACTAACAGAACACTTTATTACTATCAACAAACTCTAGAGGAGAGCAGAGAACAGGGCCTTGCTTCATGTCCTGGGACTCCTGGCTCACAACTAGCACCACAAAAGGTTTTCTGTGAATTGTTTTATCAATATAGTAAACATAATTATTTTCTTATAGATGTATTCATAGTCATGTCACTCATCATGGCACACATGATGGGTATAATGTGATTCAACTGTGATATAGAACATTTGTTATAATATGTGTGAACCTGTAATTTTTATGGCTGAACCTTAGTTTTCTGTCTGTGGCCTGTGAGTGTAGGAACAGGTTATCGTTAGGCACTTTGTGAGAAATGTCTCCAAGTTTGTGGTCGATGTGGCTCTGTCGGTAGAGCATGCCACTTACAACGCCAAGGGTCATGCCACCCATGCGTAAAATGTATGCACGCATACCATTAGTCACTTTGGATAAAAGCGTCTGCTAAATGGCAGACATTATTAATATATATTACGTTTTGTCTGATATCTCCCTACTGTATGTATAACTATGTGTACATGAGTTGTCCCCTGCCCTGTGGATGTTTGTCCACTACGTTTGACCTTGTGAACTCTTTCCTGTGTGCTCCAGGTGGTGTGAAGCCGTGTGCTCTGAACTGTCTGGCAGAGGGATATAACTTCTACACCGAGCGCTCCCCGGCCGTCATCGATGGAACACGCTGCCAGGCCGACTCACTGGACATCTGCATCAATGGAGAGTGCAAGGTGAGAGAGAGAGAGAGAGAGAGAGAGAGAGAGAGAGAGAGAGAGAGATAGAGAGAAAGAGAGAGTGTGTGTCTTTGTGTGTGTTTGTGTGTGTGTGTGTGTGTCTGTCTTGAGTGTGGTAAGTGTTCTTGTGACGTAGTGGTGGTAACATTTATGTTGTAGGTTCAATTACTGTACATTTTCCCAGATAAAAGTAGCACGTCTGCTTAAAGTAGTGCTTCTGGTTCCCTCACTTTTGGCTGTGTCTCACCCCAGTCAAACAGACCCATGCTGCTTCCAGTCAAGACCCAGCCAGTGGGTGCTGACTCCTCCATAGGAGAAACACTGTACCATGTACTGTATATGACCTGATTACATTATAATAGATAAGCTAATAAACTGGATGACTGTAACCTAATGTAATGATCCTGACCATGTGACCTGACCCGGAAACCTGACCCGACAAAACTCAGCCTGTGACCCAGTTTGTACAGTTTGTAGTCACAGTGTTTGTGTTCATTCTTATCTCAAGGGACCTTGTTTATATGATACTGACTGACTGAGCAAAAGTGGCTGAGAGACAGCAAAGAAATACCATTATCCAATATGGAACAATGCAGTGTTAGAACAAAACGTGGAGTTTCAGTCAGTTGGTTTTCATTGAGTGATTGGCAGAGGTCTTAATCTAGACTCTTATCACAACTCAACAGTTCATGTCTGGGATTGTTTTGAAGTTCTCCTCAGGAAACTGGCTATCCAGATTAATGTGGAAATTGAATTGAAAGACACTGTCATTTATTTCACCACTGGGCGTTTGTTTAAAATAAGGTTTGAATTTACATCCAAAATAGGTTTTTGAGTTGAAAAAAGCTGAAAATATGTGTTTATTAATGAGATCTGGCATCTACTGCTGTCTTTGTTCTGTGTGTGTACACTGTACAGTATGTGTACAATGAGGTTAGGGTGTGTGGGTGTGTGTGTGTGTGTGTTGGAGGTTTCTTCCCAGAAAGCACTGGGACATGCTTATTCCTAGTCACAGTCCAATGTGTCTTTTTATTTCAGCAGCAGTTGGCCTTCTAGAGTCTTCTAGAGTCTCTGACATGATGTGATAAATCTCTGGAACACCGTCTGCTTGGAGGCTGCTCAGAAATACTCAAAATGCTTTATGTAGGCCTACGCACGTGTTGGGGAAAGACAGAGGGAGAGAGAGAACAGAGAGAAAATGAAAGAGAGAAGAAACAGATAGGGATAGAGCAGAGAAATGTGGATGGAGAGAGAGAGAATGAGAGCGAGAACAGAGAGAGTAGAGAGTGAGAGAGAAAGAAAGAAAGAAAGAAAGGGGGCGAGAGAGAGAGTGAATGTGAGGGATGTGTGAGAATAAATGTATTTTTCTCTCCTGTCATTAAGGTGACACCCATAATTCTCCCTATCACATTTTAGAAGAGTCTATACAACTATGAAATACTCACTTTACCGTAGCTCTCTAAAAGAGACTGGCTGTTCAACGACTGTTCAACGACTGTTCAGTCTGACCCTCTCATCCAACTGTCGTTCTACGGTTATTAACCAGGTACTATCCAATCATGAGTCAGTGTTTTAACTGACGTAAAACTGCTGCTCCATGCAGCTTCCACAGACATAAAGTCACTTCTTTAGCATTTTTCTTTATTACTATGGTATTACTATGGTACTATTAAACAGTGTTATTACTATGGTATAAGTTATACTTAAAGTAATATAACATGGTACCCTGTCTCCTCTCTCAGCACGTAGGCTGTGACAACATCCTGGGTTCGGACGCCAAGGAGGACCGCTGTCGGGTGTGTGGAGGGGACGGCAGCAGCTGTGAGGCCACAGAGGGACTGTTCAATGACTCTCTACCCAGAGGAGGTAAGACCCAGGCTGGGGACAGAACCTGACAGGGCTCCTTACTTCAGGTGTGCAAATGTTTTAGTTCCATACAAACTGGAGAAAAGGTGAAAGGTCATGAGGTCTCTCCACTGAGCAAGTACACATAGTGAGAGACTAGTATATACAGTGAGGGAAAAAAGTATTTGATCCCCTGCTGATTTTGTACGTTTGCCCACTGACAAAGAAATGATCAGTCTATAATTTTAATGGTAGGTTTATTTGAACAGTGAGAGACAGAATAACAACAAAAAAATCCAGAAAAACGCATGTCAAAAATGTTATAAATTGATTTGCATTTTAAAGAGGGAAATAAGTATTTGACCCCCTCTCAATCAGAAAGATTTCTGGCTCCCAGGTGTCTTTTATACAGGTAACGAGCTGAGATTAGGAGCACACTCTTAAAGGGAGTGCTCCTAATCTCAGCTTGTTACCTGTATAAAAGACACCTGTCCACAGAAGCAATCAATCAATCAAATTCCAAACTCTCCACCATGGCCAAGACCAAAGAGCTCTCCAAGGATGTCAGGGACAATATTGTAGACCTCCACAAGGTTGGAATGGGCTACAAGAACATCGGCAAGCAGCTTGGTGAGAAGGTGACAACAGTTGGTGCGACTATTCGCAAATGGAAGAAACACAAAATAACTGTCAATCTCCCTCGGCCTGGGGCTCCATGCAAGATCTCACCTCGTGGAGTTGCAATGATCATGAGAACGGTGAGAAATCAGCCCAGAACTACACGGGAGGATCTTGTCAATGATCTCAAGGCAGCTGGGACCATAGTCACCAAGAAAACAATTGGTAACACACTACGCCGTGAAGGACTGAAATCCTGCAGCGCCCGCAAGGTCCCCCTGCTCAAGAAAGCACATATACAGGCCCGTCTGAAGTTTGCCAATGAACATCTGAATGATTCAGAGGAGAACTGGGTGAAAGTGTTGTGGTCAGATGAGACCACAATCGAGCTCTTTGGCATCAACTCAACTCGCCGTGTTTGGAGGAGGAGGAATGCTGCCTATGACCCCAAGAACACCATCCCCACCGTCAAACATGGAGGTGGAAACATTATGCTTTGGGTGTGTTTTTCTGCTAAGGGGACAGGACAACTTCACCGCATCAAAGGGACGATGGAAGGGGCCATGTACCGTCAAATCTTGGGTGAGAACCTCCTTCCCTCAGCCAGGGCATTGAAAATGGGTCGTGGATGGGAATTCCAGCATGACAATGACCCAAAACACACGGCCAAGGCAACAAAGGAGTGGCTCAAGAAGAAGCACATTAAGGTCCTGGAGTGGCCTAGCCAGTCTCCAGACCTTAATCCCATAGAAATTCTGTGGAGGGAGCTGAACATTCGAGTTGCCAAACGTCAGCCTCAAAACCTTAATGACTTGGAGAAGATCTGCAAAGAGGAGTGGGACAAAATCCCTCCTGAGATGTGTGCAAACCTGGTGGCCAACTACAAGAAACGTCTGACCTCTGTGATTGCCAACAAGGGTTTTGCCACCAAGTACTAAGTCATGTTTTGCAGAGGGGTCAAATACTTATTTCCCTCATTAAAATGCAAATCAACATTTTTGACATGCGTTTTTCTGGATTTTTTGTTGTTGTTTTATTCTGTCTCTCACTGTTCAAATAAACCTACCATTAAAATTATAGACTGATCATGTCTTTGTCAGTGGGCAAACGTACAAAATCAGCAGGGGATCAAATACTTTTTTCCCTCACTGTACACTGAGTGGACAAATCATTAGGAACCTCCCCCTTTTGCACTCAGAACAGCCTCAATTCATCATGGCATGGACTCTACAAGGTGTCGAAAGCGTTCCACAGGGATGCTGGCCCATGTTCACTCCAATGATTCCCACAGTTGTTTCAAATTGGCTGGAGATGTCCTTTGGGTGCTGGACCATTCTTGATACACACGGGAAACTGTTGAGTGTGAAAAACCCTGCAGCGTTGCAGTACTTGACACAAACCAGTGCGCCTGGCACCTACTACCATACCCTGCTCAAAGGCACTTCAATATTTTGTCTTGCCCATTCACCCTCTGAATGGCACACATACACACTCCATGTCTCAATTGTCTCAAGGCTTACAAACCCTTCTTTAACCTGTCTCCTCCCCTTCATCTACATTGATTGAAGTGGATTTAACAGGTTTTGTACACTCAGTGTAGAGATAAAAAAGGATGTGTAATGTGTAAAGAAGAAGAGGATTAGAGAAGGAGAGTGTATAATGTAGAAAGGACAGCAGTGTAGAGAAGAGTAAGTGTTTCAGAGAGGGTCCATTCCTCTGTGTCTTCTGAAAGCTGCCAAACACCACAAGTTTGTAAGCACGTTCTGGGAGACACATCCTCGTGCAGAAAAGCAAGGTAAAAACTCAGGAACGTATTGTCTTTTTGGCAGAGCAGCCCTGTCCTAGGGCCAACAGAGCACTGTAGTCAAACACTTCATTTTTCATGGAAATCTGTGTGTTTTTTCCCCTTTTGTCACCCAATGATAAAGCATATGGTTTTGGGAGTTGAGAAACATGTTGTCAAAACATAAATGGAAACATAATATATTTGCATTAATTACATCATCCAGTGAAGGACTCGGAGTGGAGATATGGCTTCATCCTGGCTCTGGGTCCAAGACTAGTCTACAGAGAGACAAAATCACGTTCTCCTTCTATGGTATGTCCAGTAATGCATCTAAAAATACTGTGTGTCGGTAATGTTTTTTTCCTGTTCTCTTCCAGGCTACATGGAGGTGGTTCAGATACCAAGGGGATCAGTCCACATAGAAATCAAAGAAATTGCCATGTCCAAAAACTACATTGGTAAGTGATCTCATTCAAACATTATAAAATGAAACAAACAAGAAAAGTGACGGTCATCATTCTAATTATTTTGATAATCCTTTATTTCTTTACAATCTATATATCTGAGAATGATATAAGTCATTATGGCCAATCCATAACTCCACACAATGAATTAACAGTAATGTGAAGCAGTATGAAATTAACCTGTTTCATATTAGCAGTTTGGTTCAGTTCTTTGTTTAAAGATCCAGTTTTCCTCACCACCTAGTGCTTTCTCAGTCTAGAGCAGAGCAGACAATGCCATGAAG